CATTTCTCGTTCCATTCAAAACCCTATCAGAGAGAAAACACATGACTTGCATTACACATCAATGTTAAATGATATAACATAGATTGTATGATGCAAGTAATATAAATAAATTTTCGATTACCTAAAAAGAAATATCGCTGCAATCTGAAATATTCTTATTCCTTCCTTACTAGGTGGTTCTCTTATGTTGCATCCTCTTTTTTTCGAGTTTCCCCTCATTACATTCTACTTCTCGCTCCATTCCAATCCCTATCAGAGAGAAAACACATGACTTGCATTACACATCAATGCTAAATGATATAACATAGATTGTGCGATGCAAGTAATATAAATAAATTTTCGATTATCTAAAAAGAAATATCGCTGCAATCTGAAATATTCTTATTCCTTCCTTACTTGGTGGTTCTCTTATGTTGCATCCTCTTTTTTTCGAGTTTCCCCTCATTACATTCTACTTCTCGCTCCATTCCAATCTTTATCAGAGAGAAAACACATGCCTTGCATTACACATCAATGTTAAATGATATAACATAGATTGTATGATGCAAGTAATATAAATAAATTTTCGATGACCTGAAAAGAAATATCGCTTCAATCTGAAATATTCTTCTTATTCCTTCCTTACATGGTGGTTCTCTTATGTTGCATCCTCTTTTATTTCGAGTTTCCCCTCATTACATTCTACTTCTCGCTCCATTCCAATCCCTATCAGAGAGAAAACACATGACTTGCATTACACATCAATGTTAAATGATATAACATAGATTGTGCGATGCAAGTAATATAAATAAATTTTCGATTATCTAAAAAGAAATATCGCTGCCATCTGAAATATTCTTCTTTTTCCTTCCTTACATGGTGGTTCTCTTATGTTGCATCCTCTTTTTTTCGAGTTTCCCCTCATTACATTCTACTTCTCGGTCCATTTCAATCCCTATCAGAGAGAAAACACATGCCTTGCATTACACATCAATGTTAAATGATATAACATAGATTGTATGATGCAAGTAATATAAATAAATTTTCGATGACCTGAAAAGAAATATCGCTACAATCTGAAATATTCTTCTTATTCCTTCCTTACATGGTGGTTCTCTTATGTTGCATCCTCTTTTATTTCGAGTTTCCCCTCTTTACATTCTACTTCTCGCTCCATTCCAATCCCTGTCTGAGAGAAAACACGAACAAAAACTCTACCTATAGCAATACTTTGCATGCTTTCACGTCCCTCAGTGGACTGATCGTTAAGACACGGTTCCCAGCAGATCACCGAATTTAAGCATCACTGGCTGCGGTCAGTGTGCGGGAGGATGACCACTTGGATCAGTCTGAGTAGGGACCGAGGGTGTGCGGTATTTGTCCTCGTTAAACTGTTCTACCGTAAAGTGCTCGACTTCGCGTACAGGTTGTCAGGCTACGAAAGTGGGGGTGTCATCCCCTCTGCAGAGGATCAAAATAGTGATGGCATGTCTTCTGATCATCTTCAGGGATGTTTCCCAGACCGTCGCCAATAGCCCATTGTGCAGCTCTTGTGCGATGTTAAGGAACTACAACTATTTTGTTTTGTGCTTATATCTGTGGGGATTGATATCGTTATCTTGGCGATTTCTATTTTGGTTGTGTTTATCGTCGATATTGAAAAAGCAAACATATATATTTGCATAGTTTTTTATGGGAAAATATAACACTGAAATATTTTATCGTAGTGCACAAGCAGCGGGTGCACCTGGACCGATCTACGTACACCATGGTGCCAGTGGGCATTGGGTTGGGGATCCTTGCCTTGGAGTATTACGTGCTTAGTTAAATTTATCTTTAATTTCAGTAGGTTTTTTTGAAAAAGTAATCTAATAATAACTATAATTTTGAAAACAAGTTCTTCCGGTTAACCGTTACTAAAAGTACTATCAAATGCATAATTTGTTAACCTCATTTTTTTCTCCTGTTAAAAAATTTATGTTATCATAGACTACGGAAATTTTGCCAGAATTTTTTTTCCTCCGTGTTGTTACCAATCGAATTTTTTTTCCGAGTAAAGAAAATAAATTTTGACATTAATTTTGAGTTGACACATTACACATTATAACAAACATTTAAGATTTCCGAAAGTCTTCATAATATTTTCTTATCAACTTGTCTAAATTTGTATCTTATCATTACTGCCTGTGCATAACGCATTTTTTGAATGAATTTAGTCAGTCCTGATCAATTTAATCTTAAGTTTTTCAAGTTTAACAAAACAGATATGCAATTCTTAAAAAGCAATTTTTCTTCTTTCCTTTTGAACAAAGAAACGAAAAAACGAGAATGACCAAAGAAAATTCTTATTAGCCGGTATTGTTGTATTTTTTTTCTATTTTTAAGTCTTCATAATGAAAGGTTTAAAACAAAGGGAAGTAAAATGAGGCAATATTTTTTTTTTCATTTTATTTTATAAACTGTCGTTGAACAGCCTTTCCAATTTTCAGTTCATGACTGCCAATGTTCAACTCCTTGTAACTTTGANTTTGAATCCAATTCAGAAGACAAGGGAACATCTGGATAAAGTATTGCGAGAAATTAATTTTAAGGCAGTATATTTTATTTTATATTTTAAAACGATCGTTTAAACGCCGACGCAATTTTCAGGTTTATGGATACTAATGTTCAACTCCGTAACCTTGCAATTTTTGAACCCAATCCAAGAAACAGGGGAACTCCTGGATGTTCAACTCCTTGTAACTTTGAATCCAATTCAGAAGACAAGGGAACATCTGGATAAAGTATTGCGAGAAATTAATTTTAAGGCAATATATTTCATTTTATATTTTAAAACGATCATTTAATAGCCGACCCAATTTTCAGGTTTATGGATA